AACAAAGTGTATGCAGGAAAAGTGGTTAAGATTGCACGACTGTCTGTGTCTTATGTGTTGTGTTGTATTATTTTGTCATTTTATGTTAACTGTTCTTTTGATGGCAGCACGGGCACCCGCAGTAGCTCCTCTTGTTGTCTTGTCTGGTTGAGAGGGAAGAAATTTCATCTGTGCTGTATGTTGCACATACTGCGCATTTAACAATAAAGTTGTACTTGACTTGACTTGACTTCTGAGTGAGGCGAAGAGACTTGTGTTGGTGGAGGCAGCTCTCACTTTACGCACTGACGGTGTAGCGGCCGTTAGCCTCCAGCTATCTCCTGGCCAGCTATCCCCATGCAGCCGATATTTATGATAAGACAATTAATCGGTATTGATGAGGAGGAGGAGGCGAAGAGACACTGCTGCTTTTTTCGTACAAACCCAATCACCCTCTCTCTCCTTCTCACTCGCTCGCACTCACTTTCTCTTTTGGGCGCGTGCACACGAGAGTAATAATTAGATAAGTGTTTTCCAGCCTGTTGAGCCAAGACACGTATTTGGCGTAAGAGAAACCTCACCCCCCCCCCCACACACACACGCACACACGCATGCACGCACGCACGAGAAAACAAAGTGTGTGTGTGTGTGTGTGTGTGTGTGTGTGTGTGTGTGTGTGTGTGTGTGTGTGTGTGTGTGTGTGTGTGTGTGGAAAAGGTTTCTCTTACGCCAAATACGCGTCTTGGCTCAACAGGTTGGAAAACACTGATCTAATTATAACTCTCACGAATGAAAGCAAAATTTATTCAGTAAGTCTTATACGGTATGATGCGTACAGACTAAGACATGTCATTATTCATATCTAATTATGGATGTATTAATGATTATGTGAAGCATTACGCTGTACTTCATGATAATGGTGTGAATTAGCTCAGCTCGTTCTTGAACCAACGTCAATGTTTTCAACTCTTCATTCACGGGATATGAACACACTCTATTGTCATTTTTTGGCTATTACCACCACCTCATTGGATTGCGCTTTAAATGCAGACTCTAATCTTTAATTTGAGGGGATATATGGAACAACCAAATCAGGTAAACGTCCTTTAATTAAACAGTTAGTCGGTCAATATGCCACCCGGTTTTTAATGATGGGGGGGCCGGCTAGCTGCATGCTAGCATTGAATATCCTCGGGTTAAACCAAGTTCCCGAAAGAAACAAAACACCTCAGCCATGAACATTGCCATATGCAGCCACTTGTAATTCCAACGTCTGTTTTATTTATCAGAGATCTTGTGCCGTATATATCAAAACTCGGGAGCGATGGCTTACGATGCTGAAGCTAGTGCCATTATGAACCCAAACAGAGTAGCCTCCAAGGCAAAAGAACAACAACAAAAAAAGCAAGACTGTCCCCACTGTAATATAATTGATAGCTGCATCGCCGAAAGAATATGACGCAAATGTCATGATGTGCCGATGTCACCATGGGTGAGCACCCGTGGAAAAAGGAGCTGCATGTAAGGACTGAAGAAATAGCTTTGTACCAAACCTAAATGTTTAAATTGATTGATTTTGATGGTTTTAAATGAACAAAAAAAATTTTCTATGTGTGTCTATGTGCATAGACATACACACAGCACATTAATTGGCAGACAATTTGACCTTCTATTTCACCGAGTGTGAAGTGTTTGATTGCGCCATTTAGTGCCAAAACACTGGAACAGTAAACACCGTGATGATACAGACCAAGCAAGTCATGTGGGCAAATGACTTAAGATGGGCGCATTAGAGTGGAAGGAGGCCTTCTTGTAAGGAGAAAACATTTCAGCCAGAATAGATGTATTTGTCTCATTGCAGCTCTCAGTGAAAGGAATATCAGAGAGCGTGTGCTGAGCACTGCCAGATGGGGAAGCTTCAATGACTGCCTTTCCACATGCATATACATGCGCATGACACATATTCGTGGGGTTACATATTCAAGAAAAGTTGATGCAAACCAATAAAAGGGGAGTATAGGCAGTTAGACACATGCTCTCATTTTACATGAATTATGTCATATCTTGGTTGCTGTGCATGCTCACACACACTGTTGCAAACACAAGTTGTTACTGTGCAGATGTGTTTCTGTCTCTTACAATTAGGAAATCACACTCTGTAAAAGTCCTCACTTTACTGAAATACATTCTTTCATCAGGTGAACAAGTGTCAGACCAAGAAATGATATTCTTGAAACCCTTCACATTTTCTCGACAGAAAAATAATTCGCAAAACATTTTCACAACAATGCATCCATAAAGAAAGGTGAAAGTTGAGATGTTCCGATCAGGGTTTTCAGCTACCGAGGCAGATTGCGATCACGTGGATTCGGTGTAAAATGTTAAATTTTAGAACTACAATTACTTATGTTTCTTCAATAATCGATTAATCAGTTTATTTTATTTCATTTAACTGATTTATCAGATTTTTTTAAAAATTGTTGAATTGCAAATCCTTTGTTATTCATGAATATGACATTGCAGAAAATTGAAAAAAAAAATTTGATTCAGTTACTACGTTGGTCACTAACACGTCAGAAAATAGGGGGAAATGTTATTTTCTAAGAGCAGCTTTCTGCAAATTTCCAATCGGATTAAACACAAAGATAATCACTACTCACGTTTAGGTTAGAGCCTTGCATTCCAACTAGAATGAAACCAAATTACAGAATGGAATGAAAATTCACTTATGTTTAAAGGTGTGGAATATTCCCTTTGTCAATCCATCTGGAGTATAACTATGAAATTAATAATTTCATCATTACTCTCATTAAGTGTATGGCAAAAAGTTGTCCAAGGAAAATAAGTGTGCCTCAAGTAACATTTAGTTTTTCGACTGTAATTTCTCTATGTGAACACTAGGTGGCACCCCGTAACCTTGGAGAAAAGAAAGTTGACGTGACGTCATGTCATGGCGCTCAGCTCCATCGTGAATATGAAGGAAAATAAATAAATATAAGGCTGACTGTTAATATTACTGCAGCGATCAAACTTGAATGGCAACAAGTGCAGACAGCAACCGCCGCTCATTCTGAAACTCTTTGCCGCCATCAAAGGTTTCCAACTTCTGAGCTGAGCGCAACGAAGCGGAATGCTAATGCTAATGCTAGCCCTTTGCCGGCGGCGACGCACGTCAAAAGCAAAGCCAATGCATGTGCATTGAAAATAAGCCAGAGCTTGCTCAATTTTCCAACGCTTTTCATTAGGCTGATTTTTTTAATGTCAACGCCAGAACGTGTGCTTTCAATACAGAGCAGACATCCCAGATTGTTTTCTTTTGTTTTTGTGGTGCCAATGAACAGAACGGAGCAACACTGCACAGGGGTGTCATATGATGTCGCCAAGTCGGTTCCCAGAGTGCATTACGTGGCGCAATATATTTAATGAATGAAGTTATCAGGGCATTAATCTTTGTCATATAGGTGTGTTTCTGTGAGCAGTAGATGAATGTGTGTCAAATGTACATGCTAACATTTATCACGGGTTTATTTATTTGTTCATTCATTTATCTATAAACAAACTGTAACTAAGCTGTGTGAGAAACAGCGACATCCATGTAAATTCCCTGACGTCTTCAATAATGCGTCGGGCATTGCAGGTAAAAAATGAATGTAGAAAAAGTAATACAGTGATCCCTCGCTATTTCGCAGTTTGTTTATCGCGGCTTCAGTGTTTTGCAGCTTTGTGGACTTTTTACGGACTTAAAAAAAAATATATTTTTTTTTACCTGTATATGTTAATTGGTCGCTACTTCGCGGATTTTCGTTTATCGCGGGTGGTTTTGGTCCCCATTAACCGCGATAAACGAGGGATTACTGTATATCTATTCATCTTTTCTTAAGATAGATCCACGCAATTCTTCGAGGAGAGAAATAATCACTCCCCGACCAGAACAATTATATACAGAGGGTGATGTCACTCCCCTACCCCAATTATTGATCGGCCATCAGAGGCAATGACAGGATTCACGGATCACACACTTTTTGACAAATATTTCACAAATATCGGCCGAAAATTATCGACCGGCGATCGGATTCACAGATCACATGCTTCTTCACGGATATCGACCGATCACACAATTTTCCATGTATATTGACATGATAATCATCGGGCGATGGTTATCAGTCAAGTGTCTCTTGTGAGCTTCAACAAAGACACGATGTAGACTTTATATAAGATTGAGTAACCTATAGATTGTACTGAACCTCCCCAAAAACACACACACACACACACACACACACACACACACACACACACACACACACGCACACACACACACACCTCTGGTTCTTTGACTTTCTCCATGGTGATTAGGCGACGAGACGTGTGGCTTGATAACATCTGTTCACAGTTGCTAATGAGCAGCAGACACGGATGGAGGGGAACCATCTCTTCACAGTACCTGCAAACATGTAAATGTATTCATTAGTCTCTAATTAGTTAGCCAAGGGGAAGCCTAAAAGCCAAAGAAATATAATAAATAAAAATTATTATTATTGTGGAATATACAGGACAGAAACAATAACAATGCAATTTCCATTCATCAAATAACCAGTCACATTCAATTTCAATTAATTGCTTCAGTTTTAGACCAACTTTGACCCAAAGTTCAAGTGTGTTTGCGTGTTCGTGACAAAAGTCCAATTAACAGGTTTGCAAATGCGCCAAATGCAGGTTGGATTTGCTAATGACAATTTCTTTGCCCTGCTACCATGATGGCATGTAGTTCAAAACTGTCAGCCAATGTTTGGCTGCCACGGTAACGAGACGTGATGGAGGCAGCCTACAATTCTCACAAGTCTATCCAAGGTCACGCGGTAGAACTATGGGTCCCTCGTAAGGGCCATTTCACACAAAATACAGCTGAATACATGTTGTTATTCTGGTATTCATCCATCAATTTTCTAGACCGTGTGTACTCATGAGGGCCACAGATGGTGCCTATCCCAGTTGACTCTTGGCAAGAGGCAGGTCTACACACGACTGGTTACACAAACACTCAAACCACCATTCTATGGCAAGCCATTTGAGCATTTATTCCAAATCCCTGATATCAGACATTGGTGTGTTACACTAGTTCGATCTCTTTCAGCACTAGTTCGACACTCAGCCACACAAGTGACACACTTTGTCGAACTAGTTGCATACGAACTCCAACTAGTCATTCATTTTCAGCAACATGTTAACTTGTCAATCATGGATTATTCTAACATGTGAACTTGTGACCCGTGATTTCCTGCGCTAGTAAACAAATGCGAGCTGAAATACTCACTAGTTTACTAGTGGCGGATAAAACAGCAGCTAGTTTACTAGTTAAAGCCCCTTGACGCCTTGATATCTAACTAGTGAGTGTCAAAAATGTTACTTGTTCACTGGTGATGCCCCAAATATTTACTAGTTGCACTAGTGTGACATTTAATGTCGCACTAGTGCAACTAGTGAGGTCTAAAATGTTCACTAGTAGAACTAGTGGATGCCAACCTGCTCACTAGTAAGCTAGTTGCACAAAAAATAATGAGGAGGTGGGGCAGAAATGTGGCTGCAGGATTCCTATTGGATCTGCAGTTAAAATACACTAATCGGGATTCAGATTTTGTCATAATCACACCCACTTCATTTGCATGTTTTACACTAGTTTACAAGTTGTCCTGAGGATTTGCAGCTAGTTCACTAGAGGATGCCCATTACTGGTTACATGTCGACGAGTGAATCCAGAAATCCAAACTAGTAAACTAGATGCAATCGATTTGACCTTACACGTGAACTAGACGGTTTCAAAATGTGAACATGTTCACCAGGCAATGTAGAGATATCCACTAGTTACACTAGTTGGGCTCATTTTCATTTTACTTGTTAACTAGTGATACACATGTTTCCTCACTAGTAAACTAGTTGGGTCAGAGTGACACACTAGTGAGCTAGTGACACAGATTTTCATATCACTAGTTAACTAGTGGAACGTATTTTGTCTCACTTGTCAGACTCAATGCTGAACTTGTATAGACTTTGACTGAACATGTTTGACAAAACTGGGCACTAGGTGACATGTGCACACATCTAGTTTACTCGTGAAATAATCACATTTGGCTAGTTTACATGTTTGGCAGTTACAAAACTTTACAAGTTCACTAGTTGTGCACACATGTCAACAAGTAAGCAATTGCATTTAGCTAGTACGATGTACATGCCAGCTAGTATGCCAAAAACATGAGCTAGTGCAACAGAAATCCCTACATGTTAGATATTTGTTGCACTCGTTGTGCACAGTCGCTCACTCGTGCTGATTAACACCAACAAGTGAAAAGAAAAGCCCAACATGTAGGAAAAATGTCAAACGTGTTCAGTCAAATCTTGCACAAGTTCATTTCTTGGTCTGACTAGTGAGACAAAATGCCTCCCGCTAGTTAACTAGTTGAATAAACATGAGCGTCTCTAGTGAACTAGTGGCTCACTCTGGACTCAACTAGTTTACTAGAAAAAAAACATGTGTTTCACTAGTTCACAAGTGAGGGAGAAATGAGACCAACTAGTGCAACTAGTAGAAATTGTCATATTTACAAGTTAACTAGTGAACATTTTGAACCTCGCTAGTCAGCTAGTAGGATTTGGAAGATCCAACTAGTGTAACTAGTGGACATAACATGCCTTAATAGTGAGCTAGTGATCAAATTTTAAACTGACAAGTTCACTGCTAAGGCCAGAACACCTGAACTAGTCTACCAGTGGACATTTGGTCCTTACAAGTGAGCATGTCAACTGTAACATGCGATCATTCATGTCTCAGTTGCGACTCGAACACCGACATGTTCACAAGTGGGCTGCATGCAAATGAAGCAGGCGGGACAAGAATTTTGATTGGTCAATATTCAGAGAATGAATATTCAGTCTTAAAGCTTTAACCCTTACGCGCCCGGCTCGTAATGCCATGTCATCCTGACTACCAGTAGTTCAAATTTGTCCTCTGTAGAGGACATTTGTGAACCTAAATACCTCCCACCCAGTGCATCCAATCGCATTAACTCCTTTTGTTACTCTAAAGAGGACATTTAGTGCTTTCCAATGATATTTGGAAACGGACAGCCAATAGGATACCGTTACATGTTTTCGTAATCATCCTTATTTGCATGTAATGCAAGTACAGTGTAATGTCACGACTCACTAGCACTACAAGTGGGCACATTTATGGCCTTACATGTTTACAAGTAAGCTTCAAAATGATCTAACTAGTGAACTAGTGGGCGTTTTGGGGCATACATGTCAACTAGTAAGCGTCAAAATGATCTTACTAGTGAACTAGTGGGCGTTTTGTGGCTTACATGTTCACTAGTAAGCTTCAAAATGATCTCACTAGTGAACTAGTGGGCGTTTTGGGGCATACATGTCAACTAGTAAGCGTCAAAATGATCTTACTAGTGAACTAGTGGGCGTTTTGTGGCTTAGGTGCACCATCAGTAATAATCCCAGAAATTTTGTTCCACGGGAGTTTCATGTCATTCACGGCAGCGCAAACAGAAGAGAATATGTCCGTTCCTCTTGTTTGGGTTTTCAGGCTCTGGAGGTCCAGTAGTTCTTCAGTCACGTTCATTTCATTGTCCACTCCCCTCAGAAAAACAAGTAACTGAGCAGTGTCCGAGGCGTCTGTGCTTTCGTCGCAAGCCAGCGAAAAAAAATCAAACTCTTTTCCTCTGTCTCCCAATTGTCGTTTGATGTCCGCTGAGAGTTCTTCAATCCTGCGTGCCACAGTGTTACGTGCCAGGCAGACTTTGGCAAACTCTTGCTGCTTCTCAGGGCATATTTTCTTCACCATCGTCATCATGCAGTCTTTGATGAATTCACCTTCGTTGAAAGGTTTGGAACGTTTTGCGATCAGCGTTGCTACCGCATAACTCGCCGCTGTGGCGTTCTCGTTTGACTCTCGAGCTCTTGCAAAATACTGCTGCTGTGAGATTAAACGAGCTTCAAACTGCTTCAATTTTCTGTGCGTTCCTTGCCTGTAATCATGTCGTACATGTCAGCGTGTCTTGTTTGGTAATGTCGCTTGACATTATAATCTTTAAAAACAGCCACTGTCTCTTGGCAAATGAGGCAGACACAGTTGTTGCGTATTTCAGTGAAGAAATAATCCAATTTCCATCCATCCTTGAATCGTCGTCCCTCGCAGTCAACTTTCCTTTTTCTGTTGATTGTCGCCATTTTAGAAAACTGGGAAGTGAATATGTGCACGGAGTGATGTCTCGTAGACTCGTGAGTGATGTCTCGTAGAGTGCTACTGCCCTCTAGTGGCTAAATACTATTACTCATTTCGTGAATGCTATTACTCATTTAGCCACTAGAGGGAAGCAGCACTCTATGAGATATCACTCACCAGTCTACGAGACCTCACTCCGTGCGACACGTGTCCCATTGCGCACAACCAGCGGGCCAGACGGCACTGATTTTATGACAGAGGCCGAGGGCCGGATAAAATTCGACCGCGGGCCGGACTTTGGACACGCCTGGACTAGACTGAACACAAAATAAATTTTATGTGGGCTTTATTCCCGACTGGACAATAAAAAATTGTACAGCATTAAGATGAAAGCCTGAGATAGTAACTAAATTTTAAAAGAGTTCGAAAGGGATCTAAGAGATCAAAGAAGAGTATCTAACAGACTAAAGACAATTACAACACAATAGACAACAGCAGTGGCTTGCTTGATAAGGAAATAGAAATAAAAATACATTACTGTATTTCCATGTTCCAACAATCCATGAAACTTAAAAGTGCAGACCGACAAATCATTACAATTCAATGTGATGAGAGGACACACTTACTCGACACTTTCCGGCATGTTGGGTGTATACAAAACACGTGGAAAAACAAATGCTCTCCCCTCTAAAGAACAGATACACAGTTCATATCATTTCACAGTAAAAATAAAACACATTTACATCATGTAACATTACGAAAACACTTTGACTTCACTAGTTTGACTAGTGAAGTCAAAATGTCGCACTAGTGGAACTAGTGGATATTTGGCGCATCACTGGTGAGCAAGTAACATTTTTGGACTCACTTGTTGGATATCAAGGCTTTAACGGTCTTAAACTAGTGCACTAGTCAATGTTTTATCCTCCACTAGTTAACTAGTGGATATTTAAGCTCCCACTAGTTAACGAGTGCAAGAAATCATAGGCCACTAGTTAACATGTTAGAACAATCCACGTTTCACTAGTTAACATGTTAACATTTTTTAAATCTTACTAGTAAACTAGTAAGACTTTGAACCTCACTAGTTTGGTCTAGTGGGCCACTAGGGCATAAAAAAAGCTGACTAGCTGGGAAGTTCCCTCTGCTTGTGTGCTTCCAGGTGTCACTAGTTAGAATTTTGTCAGCACTAGTTGGACAAAAGTGGCACTCGTTGCCAAAAATGAGTTGCTAGTGAGGATTTCTGTGCAACTAGTTCGACAAAGTGTGTCACATGTGTGGCTGAGTGTCGAACTAGTGCTGAAAGAGATCGAACTAGTGTAACACACCAATGTCTGATATCAGGGATTTGGAATAAATGCTCAAATGGCTTGCCATACCATTCACACTACCATTCACACCGATGGACAATTTAGAGCTGGGATTTGAAACTTGACTGTGAGGCAGACTGCGAACCACAAGTGTGCTTCCGGATGTGCATTTAAAGCAACACACGACTCCAAATTCATTTTCCTTCCTTCAATTAGGTACTGTGTATGAACATTAAAAATGCAAATAATGGCATCTGAGTCCCTGAAAAAGGGTTTAAGCCAATTAAGTATCAAAATAAGGACATAGCCTGGACGCTGCCATATTGGACATTTTGACTACCTTATTTTCCACATTATAAGTCGCACATAAAAGCATTCAATTTTCTCAAAAGCTAACAGTGTGCTCTGTCATCCGATCCGCCTAATACAAAGAGACTGTAATTTTCATTACATTCCCCAATGAGATGTTTCCCTGTTAGTGTTCCTATGCCATCTATTGGTGCTTACTGTATTAGCAGGAACTAATTGTAACCTGGTGGCCTGGTGGGCGATTGGTTAGCGCTTCGACCTCACAATACAGAGGTACCGGGTTCGATTCCAGCTCCGGCCTCCCTGTGTGGAGTTTGCATGTTCTACCCGGGCCTGCGTGGGTTTTCTCCGAGTACTCTGGTTTCCTCCTACATTCCAAAAACATGCACGACAGGCTGACTGAGCACTCAAAATTGTCCCTAGGTGTGAGTGTGAGCGCGAATGGTTGTTCATCTCTGTGTGCCCTGCGATTGGCCGGCAACCGGTTCAGGGTGTCCCCCGCCTACTGCCCGAAGATAGCTAGGATAGGCTCCAGCACCCCTCGCAACCCTTTTGAAGATAAAGCGGATCAGAAATGGGTGCATGGATAATTGTAAACTAAAAGGGTTGACATGTGCAGTTGCCAACACACACACTCAGACAACTACTTTGTGAGCTCTGCCCAGCCATTATGAAATGAAGATAATAACAAAAGCAGTTAACTACTGACTAAACGAAGGAAGAAGGAGACAAGCAAGACTTCTAAGGATATGTAGCCATTTGTGGATGTGAGCCTTTTTGTTGAATCTCTTTAGGTGAGCACTGTAACCAATTATTTTACCTCGAAGTACCGCTTTACATGCGTCCCATAATATTGGAGGGGAAACTTCACCATTGTCGTTCTGTTCCAAGTATTCTGCAATATCTTTTCCAATTTGTTCCTTCATCTGATTCAGAACAGAAGTATTTAATCGCCACATAGTGTTTCTCCGATGCTGTTCCAGATTTAGTTCTAGATAAATAGGGCTATGGTCTGAAAGGTCCATGTTCCCCATGCTGTAGCCACCAACCCGATTTAGATCTTTAGTGAGAGTAAAAATAAATAGTCAATCCTTGAGTATGCCAAATGGGGATTGGAGGATTTAATTCTCTCCAGATATCTATTAGACCGATTTCTTTCATGGCAATGTTTATTTTTTTGTGAATCAATTTGGGTTGGGATGAATGTGGATTTGAGAGATATGTAGCCACTTGTGGATGTTAGCCTTTTTGTTGAATCAATTGTCTTCACAACTTTTGTCTTTTATTGTTTTGTAATGCCATTATATCTATGTTTCATGTCCGTGTTTGTGACCAGTTCTAATGGCTTTGTTACAGCTGCAGCGGTTGTGAAGGCTGTGTATAAAGCTGTATTGTATGTTATTGTATTGAATTGTATTCCTGTAGTGTAGTGCCATCTAGTGGATGCATAGCACACCCGCAGCCATTATTGTAGCTTCCGTGCGCCTTATAATGCAGTGCGCCCTATTTATGAAACCAATTTTAAAATAGGCGATTCATTGAAGGTGTGCCTCATAATCTGAAGCACCTTATAGTGCGGTACTCCATGTAATCATGGTGACGACTTCCTTGCTGTAACACACAACTGTTCATTTTGGACTTGTTTCCTGATCCATTGTCCTAAAAAATGTGTATTACCATAATTTAGGTGCCACTCCGAACTATCTCAGGTTTCATCTTCTTCCCTTGAGAAAGGAAAAGAAATGTATGGCAGGAATGACTAGCTAACGCAGCCAACTACAGTACAGTCTTGAAGGTTGCCTCTGAGTTACCTTGTAGAGAATAAAAAAAACATGATATCACTTAATGTACAAAAAATGTGACAGATTATCACCAAAATTTATGTGCACATATTAAAATCCATCCATCCACCCATCCAATTTCTAATCCGTTATCCTCACAAGGGTTGGAGCCCATCCCAGCTGTCTTCGGGCAGTAGGCGGGGGACACCCTGAATTGGTTGCCAGCCAATCGCAGGGTACACATAGATGAACAACCATTTGCACGCACAATCACACCGAAGGACAATTTGGAGTGCTTTTGGAATGTGGGAGGAAACTGGAGCATGTGGATAAAACCCATGCACGTCAGCCTCACAGTGCAGAGGTGCAAGATTCGATTCTGCCTGCGGCCTTCCTGTGTGGAGTTTGCATTTTTCTCCCTGTGCCTGTGGGGGGTTTCGCACATTAAAATCATAGTCTGCAAATATTAGTATGAAGCGCGCAGTATTTTTGATTATATTAACGCACGCTTGGGATGTTAATACACAACGTGAATTCAATAACAAATATTGCCAGTTTCATTCTAATATTTTCAGACTATGATTATCACATTGGGTGCCACGGTGGTCGACTGGTGAGCATGTCCGCTTCACAGTGCAGAGGTGCGGGGTTGGATTCCGGGTTTCCTGTGTTGAGTTTGCATGCTCTTCCCATGCCTCAGTGGGTTTTCTCCGGGTACTCCGGTTTCCTCCCACGTTCCAAAAACATGCATGGTAGGTTAATGGAAGACTCTAAATTGTGCCTAGGTGTGATTGTGAGCGTGAATGATTGTGTACCTATGTGCTGCATTACGATTGGCTGGCAACCAGTCCCGGGTGTACCCCGCCGACTGCCCAAAGACAGCTGGGATAGGCTCCAGCCCGCCGGGAGCCTCGTAAGGATAAGCGGATGAGAAAATGGATGGATGGATGGATGATCACATATCTACACGTTCACATATATTTTGTTGACGATCTATCAGTTTTTGTACATTATGCCATGTAATGGACCAGTTGCATACTCTTGTGCAATACACGGGTTGGCTGTGTTAGCCAGTCACTCCTGCAATAAATGTTTTTTTTCCTCGAAGGAAGAAGATGAAACATTTGATGGTTCAGAATGCCATCTAAATTAAGGCAGTACTTGACGACGCCATAGGGCAGTTTTATCGCACAATACTAGGGCTATAACGACAAGGGCCCAATAGACCAGTTTCAATGTTTGCAAACACTGACTGCTCGCATCTTAATGATGTCACTGTTGTTTGCAAAGACAAGCATTCTTAATTGTCTCTCATGTTGAATTTCTTCACTTTGACATTCAGAGCACTGGGCAGAAATCACATCGCGTCATCACCCCCCACACCTTCGCGATGCTTTGTTTTAATTAAACAGTCGGATTGCCCTGGTCCGCACCAGTTCTAAGCCAGCTGCTAGGCGCCGGCCGAGGCGACCCGACGGAGAGACGCCCAGCCCTTCACCGAGAAAACAGAACTCTCCCTGGGGCACCCGCCGGCTTCTCCGGGATCGCTTGCGTTGCCGCACTGGGCGCGTTGCATTCTCACGTCGTCAAGCTTGTAACTATAACTTTCGCCATTTTTTTCTGAAAGGGGTGTTTACCAAGCAGGAATTCTATAAAAGACTTTATCTCTGTGTGTGCTCTTTCCATTCTGACAACCCACAGCACGAGACAAGAGATCAGTCAATATTCTGGCTGCGCGCGCATCTTGGAGGCAGAAGATGCGCGCGCAGCCAGAATTAATGCATTCATACGTCACATGAAACCGATCTAAAGGGCTAAGAAGAAACAACATCTGTTCTTTTTTTTTTTTTTTTAACACTCTCACAGATCTAATTAGCTGTATTGGATCAGCCGATGATTTTTATTTCAAATTTATATCAAATTTTGTGATCAGCTGTGGTTTCCCCACATACATGTTAATCTGTGTGGTCCAGTGATAATAGATTTTATTGCTACCTGTCAATTTGCAACCGATGTAGTAACTTTTGTTTTGTTGCACGGAGTCTGCGCTGTTCTGCACCTTGTGTGCGTCTGATAAGCAATACCACCACAGTCCTTTGTGATACAGTATGGCATAAA